AATCTGGTAACTCATTGACATAGAGATTGAAAAGCATTGGGGCTAAACTGCAGCCCTGTCTTATGCCAATATTGGTAGGTATGCTCTTAGACAGGGCTCCATTTACGCCAGTACGAATTTTCACATGGGTGTTTGAGTAAAGGGCCCTAACCAGAAAAAGGAGTTTGGGCTCCATGTTCAGGTCCACCAGTTTCCTCCACAAGATATTTCTGTTTAACGAATCGAAGCCGCACTTAGATCCATAAATGCAGTGAATAATTACCCATTTTTAAATACCTTGTTACCAAATTATATAATGTGAAACAATTATCTATGGTAGATTGCTCTGGTTTAAAGCCTGCTTGTTCCTCTGCCAAAAGATTATTCTCCATAACCCAGATTTCAATTTTGCTCAACAAATGCTTTGCATACATTTTAGCAACAATTCCAGTTAGGCTTATTGGCCTGTAATTATTTGGATTGCCTCTGTCTCCTTTTTTATGTAAGGGAACAATAATGGCCACTTCCCAACCCACAGGTATGCCGCCAGTATTGTTTATAAATGTAAATAGCCCTGCTAACAAAGGTGCCCACCAGTCCATATAAGTCTTAAATAATTCTGGGGACAAAAAATCTTCACCAGGTGCCTTATTAGCTTTTGATGATCAAATAATGGATTTAATTTCTGAAACAGAAACGGGGCCAGATAGGGAGATTTTCTAAAGTTAATAAATCATTGCTTTGGGTATGCATAGAGTCCTGATTGGGTTAAAAATAAGATTAGAATAAAAATTCTTGCACGTTGAAGCAGGAATGGGGATATCAATAAAAATAAAATTTACATTCCTTCAATATACCTGAGACAGCATTCCAAAAAAAAGCTGAATTTGACCCTTTTGCCCAAATTTCCAAGTCCGACCATAATTTAGTTCTAAAGGAAGCCTTCTTTGATGCTATCAATTTCTTATAATCACACCTAATTTTCAACATGTTGCTATAGTTTTTTGAGGTGGGACATTGCTGAACCCTACGCATTGCAGCTCTCAAATATTTTCTACTGTACGAACAGTCAGAATCAAACCAGCTAACTGCAACTTGTTGGCGGTTTCTTATCGGAAGTTTGACAGTAAGAAATTTCTTCAATGAATGACATAGATCATCATAATGGGCCATAATATTATCTGAGCCTGAAGATGAATGAGAAATTAAGCTTCTCCAGATCTGAGGTTGTGCAGAATCCAAAAAAATAGATAATGCCACAGTATCAGCTTTGGCCCATTTGAGTTTTCTATCCAGTCTCACTTACAGGTTTGCAAAAAAACGTTTTGCCACAAGGTGAGTTTCTCCGTATATCTGAACTGCCTTGAAATAAAACTGAAATTGGTTGGTGATCACTACCTTTCCTCACATGGACTTGTATACCTGCAAACCTCTCAAGCTTATCTCTTGAAACACATGTATAATCTAGAAAGCTACTGGAGTTACTTGAGTGATAAGTAAAAGGATATATAAAACTATAGTCCTTACCTCCTATAATATAGAGATTACAATTATAAATCATAGAAACCAATTGTGTACCTGCAATATTTCTTTTATAATCACTAGAATGCCAGGGAGGAATAGATAGTAAATAATCCTCAGGAATAACACCAGAATAAACAAAGTTATGTAAAGATGCCCCTACCCTGGCATTAAAATCTCCTGCCAAAACTATAGTAACGTTAGGATGTTGGACATTTAATTTTAGAACTGTCTCTTCCAAATTTGCCCGGATATTAGGTGTATAATAAGGGGTGGAGTGAGGAGGGATATATATATTCAGCAATATCAATCTGAAAGAACCATAGAAGAACTTGACAATTAAATGTGAAGCAGAAGCATCACCAAAACCGAGCTTCTGGGCTTGCCAGCCCAACTCTGCTTTGGCTAAAATTGACAAGCCTCCAGAGGCCCTTCCTTTAGTCTTAGATTTAACTGCAGGAATAGACCACGAATCAAAGCCAGGCAGGTGGATCTGTTCTTCATCCGTGGTCAGCCAGGTCTCCTGAAGGGCTATAAGATCAAAATTTATAAAAAAAAATCCTCCAAGTCACCATCCATGGCTCTGGCTTTCCAGCCAGCAATATTCCAGGACAATAGGTGAAAATAATCTACTTGCTTGTCATTTGTCATTATAGGGAGGGAATTAATGTGAGCATTGGGAGGGACAGCAACATTTTCCAGTCATTCCACAGGAGTAATATTATCCAAGATTCCCTCAGAGTCAAAAGAGACACACTGGTTTGTTCGGTATTTGCCTTCACTACTACCAAATTGGTAAACAGACTCCAAATGCTTCTGAGGGCCAACAGCCTGTTGCAAAGGTATCATTGTAGGTTGGCCCAGTGGAATAGTGTCCGAGACCAAAGGGAGTAGCAACGAGCAGGTGGGAACCTCCTTATGACCCAGTTCAACACCTACTCCAAAGTCATCTTCTATTTGTTGTTCTATTTGTTGTTCCACAGTAATTGAGCAACCACTCCTTCTCGCCTGTACACCTCTTTTACAGAGTTATTATTTGCAGCATCTATATGAAGAGGAATTTCATCAGAATTCTCAGAAAGAGCATTAATAACATCTGCAACCGGGATAGCAAATTCTATGGGAGGTTTTGCAGCTTTACGTGGGAGGTTGATTTTTCAAGTTGCCACTTCTCAAGGGTGCGGGAGAGATAACATCCTTAAACAGTTTTAAAATTGTTGCAATTAGGCTCACGGAAAGCAGTGCTCTTCTTGCCAATATGAGTTATTAAAGGACTAATACCCTCCTTAGTAAACACGCAAATAGGAAAAATTCCAAATTCACTAAGGAAGGAATTCATTTTGAACAGCATACTGGCTATAGTGGGTTGTTTAAAAGTCAGCAAAATATGTTTAAAAGCCCCTCTGGAGGGAAGCCATTCCACCCTCTGCAAATCTACCAACTGCCTTTCACAGGGAAGAAGCTGGCTAAGGGAAAGAATAACCGCATTTCTAAATCCCGACTTCTCTTTATTCATTTGGTTATTTAAACTTCGTAAGGTAATCTGATGCTGCTGTAGATAAAAGTTAAAACTTGTGTGCTTTTTATCCAAGACTTCTTGGGAGAGAGAACCTTGCTTAGCATGCACCTCTAGATGAGGGAGTAGATCACATGACAATTTTTTTGTACTTTTAGTGAAACCCAAGTTAGGGTCCACCTTTGGATCAGCAAACTTAACAGTTGATTCTTTTAATGAGTCCACTTTTTTGTTGACCTCAGTTAAAAGCTCAAAAGTAGTCAGTACATACATTGCCTAGACATAAAATCAAAAAAGTTTTTATTTTGTAATTTCCCATACTCTTGTTGCAACAAACCTTCAGCGGCAACACCAACATGATGTTTGAAAGAGGGAAGACTCCCCTGATAAAGAAGCAGAAATGTCCGGAAGCTGTGAGCTCTCTACCTCAGCTTGTAAGTCCCATTCCAGTGGATCGTATCTGTTAGAAAGGCTAATAAGTGAGGATGATAATTTATTACTTATGGCCGTTGACTGAATATCATTTAAAAAGTCATCCATTTTAAGTTGTTTGGTAGGGTTGCATAAGGACTGTGTAGCTGAAAGAGGACATTCCCTCTTCCGTTTCCCATTGCTCATGGTGGGCCCCTCGCTTATCTACACATGCTCACAGATGAGTCACCTTTAAAACAATGGCAGCCACCAAGGCAGGCGAGAAAGAAGGGAACATCTGTTGAAGGAGCCGACTTTCCTACTGATTAACTTGAGCTGCTCATTGTTGATCTCTCTCCTCGGAAGATTAAGCTGCACTGTGCCTCACAGCTTACTAGACTAAATTGGTTACCTATCATGGACCATTCTGTACTTGTTATTGGCAGTTGGACTGTTTTTAGCACTTGGTGCAAGGGTTAATTTAGTATAATTTTAAGAAAATGCAAATGAAAACAGCCAAATTTTTGTTACTTTCCTTTTTATTCTGGATGGAATCCAGTCAAGCTCTTCTGGTAATGGAACTGCTTCCTTCAGTGGAAGCAGGGCATCAGGCCAGGTTGTGTGGTGAGCCTTTTTTGGTATTCTGTGAATGCACTAGGTGATTTTGTGTTTGTGTGTGTGACAGAGAGAGAGAGAGAGAAGGGGGAGAGGGAGGGAGGGAGGGAGAGTCTCGCTCCTATTGTCTTTATGCCTAATGCAGAACTAGAAGTCACTGTCTCCTGGTTTCTAGCCTAGTGCCTTAACCACTAGACCAAATGAGCTCTTTTTAATTGCTCTCAACGTGCTTTTGTTGTTTGATCTCAGGTTATTTTATTGTTTATATCAAGTATGAGTGGGTGATCTTATATACTAAAGTTAAGAAATAAATGAAAACAAATAACATAATAAGAAGATGGATGATTGGGGGAAGAAGACTTTTCCCATGCAGTCTTCCAAGACCACCTGAGCAGATTTGGGGGGATATCCTCAAATGCTGCAGCAGAAGAGGAAAGGAGTAGAGTGAGGAGAAAAGCTTATGACGTATCATATCAGCCAAAGAGTGTATCATCCATCAATTTCCATACCATACCAACCTCCTATTGGTTCACTATCATTCCTCACTGATGAGGGTTGGTTCACTATCATTCCTCACTGATGAGGGACAGCCCCCTTGGATTGCTCAGGTTTTCTCTTTTATTAACCCCTCAGTTTTGCTCTCAAGAAAGTTGTTCCATCAACTGAAACAATCCTTCTGTGATAAAAATAAGGCTGGATATTTAGAAACATCAAATGAAAGATGACTAACATCTTACACAATGACCTAGTACAGTCTTTGCAATCTAATATGCTTTGGACTACAAGTCTATCATCTTTACTCAGTTTAAGAATGTATCAAATAAATCCAACTCAAAGTATACAATCATGTAATTTTTTGATTAATCAAATCAAGCCTATTCTTGATTTAATTAATTAAAAAAGTCATAAGAAATCCAATCCTGAAATTAATATCATGAACATTTCTCTTCTTTTCCAGTGTTCACTATCAATAAAGTTTCACTCCAGGCTTTTCCACAAAACGAAATACACAAAGGAGTACCACTCATCCTCAACTGTTCTGTGGATATTAGCAAGAATGAACATTTCCGACTGAATTACACGTTTTCATTTTTCAAGGATGGTGAGCTTCTGTTCACTAACACAGTTGAACAAGATAGCGCCCAGTATACAATCTCACGGGCTAGATTTTCTTCTTCAGGACAATATGAATGTTCATTAAGTGTTGAGGAGAAAAAAAAATTCAGTGACCCTTTGATCATTAAAGTTGAAGGTAGGTATCTCTTTATACTTTGAAGAAACAACTCAGGTATTAAAATTGTTCTTTATAGATAGGAAAGATTAAACACAAAATTTCCTTGTATTTTTACCACAGTGCTTTTTTCTAATCTTTCTTTCTTTCTTTCTTTCTTTCTTTCTTTCTTTCTTTCTTTCT